AATAATTTAGCTTAACGTAAAGGATCTCACTCGTCATTTAGTTTCTGGTGAACCCAGACGTCTTTTCGATGCATGGACCAAAACCGAAGCCGAGTTATTAACTAAGTACAATGTTACACGACAGCTGGTACATCAAGCTTTGTGTGGCAAGTCAAGCTGATACAAAAATTTAATGCATCAATGGTTAACATATTATTTTTTCGGTTCCATAGACAATGTGGATACTCGCAGTTCACTAGATGCCGTAAGAGATTTGGTTTCGTCTGCTAATATTTACATTCGTGATAATAAACTTAAATTAATAGATTTATTGCATATATTCGGGGCAATAACGGGACCTAGAGGAGCATTTGGTTTCACTGTAGGGATTTTATCAAGCGGCCACATAGATGTGTAGAGTACTGTTCTTCCCTACGAAGAAGCCACAAACTTTAATAGCACTCGAAATTTATGTGATGAACTAAGCGACAATATTCTACCGCAATTGGGTGTACGTTTCGAAGATAAGGATGAGGGAGGGTACGCCGTGAAATTGGTGGATCGTGACACTTTATCGTGCGAGCAGGAAGCAAAAAAAGCCGCGATAGCTGAGCATTTAGCAGAAAAGGAATGTAAAAAACAGGTTGCAGCCGAAAAGGCAGATGTTAAGGAGAACCGGGAGAAGGAAGAATCCAAAAGAAATGTTCCTCAAAGCAACCGATAAATAATCACGATTTGATGAAAACGTAAGTGTAACATAAGCAAGCAAATTGCTAACCTCGGTGTTTGAAATCCTTGTGTTTCTCCTAAATTTTAGGACTTACCAACACATGATAAATATGGCAACAAGATTAGCGCAAACCAATTGAAAAAGTTACAGAAATGGCAAGCTCCACAAGAGCAACGTGATAAAGGATACTTTGATTCTTTAGTTAATGCTTGATAAAATGAATTTTCTTTTATCAGTTTTGCAAGCGTTGTTGCCAACACAAACCGGCACATGATTTTAAAGGAGCTTCGATCAACGGCACTGTGGAATTAGTAGTGGAGATTTTAAGTGTTATGTCTGGTCTGCCGATACTGGCCATTACATTCTCAGAACTTGGAGAAATACGCAAACATCGCCCCTCATCCTCGTGTACCGGCTTCACGTTTGTCGGCGACCGAGGTCTCCGCGACATGTCGAACGTTACAATTTCACCTCCAGATAAAGCAGTAATAATGCGATAATTATTGAAAGACCAATCAGCAGTCAGTAATGGAATTTTTGAACATTCAACAGATATGACAGACTGCGGTGAACGTACATTGTACATATGTGTTACACATCTTTTTCGGCTGCCATCGCCTTACTTGGGTCGTCGGAATGCCACTTTACGGACATGCCAGCCGATGATAAGCAAAATGTAATTATGTTATCATAGTTTGATTCAGAACACCAGATTTTGCATGAATTGTCATCACTTACGCCAAAAATCTGCGCTTGCTGCGCAAAATGTTGGCTCGATATATATAGTTACAAAGAATAACTGATAAATAAAAAAAAAAGAAGAGTTCGGTAAATGTGTTTTTAAATTCAAATTCCATTTTTTTTATTTAACAAAAGTTCAATTAATATTATATGTGTATATTTGTATACATCATACGGTTCTGCGTCTATACATAAGTATGTACAATAAAAGAAATGAATATACTTTCTTTTTTTAAAATAAAAAAAAAATTAAAATGGTGAAAGATTTCAAATGGATAAAAACTAAAAATACAAAGATTGCAAGTAAAACGACAGAAAAGAATATGAAGACCAGGCCATTGAGAAGGTTTATAAATCAGCTAAATCCTCGACATTTTCTTCATGTTTCACAAGCGTTCGATGATTGTCACCGAGTGATATGAACTCTGACTCATCACTATTGCGAGTTTTCGATAACACAGTAATTTTAGATGTTGCGGTAGATTTACGTGTTATCCGTGATACGGTTGCCTTCGCAATAATGTTAACGGTTTCTGAGGATGGCATTGGTAGAATACTGCTAGTAAGGGTAATTCCTGTATTAGACGAGCTGGGAAACTAATAATGTATAAACCAGAAATATCGCAATAAGAATATTAAGGAAAACGTGAATGCGAGACGGTGTGTAAAACTAATTTACCTCGCAACTATTTCGAGTATATGTGTTTATCTAAGTTTTTCACTTTATATTTTCGATTTTTATTGTCTTTTTACCTTTCTAACGCCACCAGTTATTGTTGTCGTGGTAGGTGTCTTCCCAATTGTTGCTGTTGCTATCATTTTTGCTGCCTTTGTAATTGGAGTTGAAGCCCGACGTGGCGGCGTCGCATAAAACATAGGCAATGATTCTTGCGACGGCCTTTTTAAAGATTTCGACGGTCGCTTTTGAGTGAGGCTACCTGTTCTATTAGAATGCGGACTGCGACCGGTGGAAGTGTTCGGGAAAGTGCTAGAGGGAACGTTACCCGTCGACATTATATTACCCGCTCGCGTTGACATGGTAGATTTTGTATAGGCTGGCATACTTGCTACAGGTGGCGGCACGGTCTGCAACTGATAACCGATTATATTTTTTTCGGTATCGTAAAGTGGAACTCCATCGTGAAATTGTATGCTTTTTCGTGGAATTTCATAATTTAAAGACTTTTGTTTTGTTCCCGTTGTTGTAGCCAACGATGAATCACTAACATCCTGAAGAGGTGATGAGGCGTTAGTTAAAACTAAATCTGTTGCATTAGTTTGAACAATTGTATTTGACGGCACCGTAGAAATAGACGAAGACACACTATTCAGATGTAGTATTTGTTTGAAATATTCTTCGATCAATATAATCGTATTTTCTAAATCTTTAGACTGGAATTTGCAAGTCGTCAAAAGCGATTCAATTACTCGGTGGCGATCGGCAATTGTCAACTGATCGAAAGGTTTTACGAACTTTTTTATTAAAGCATCTAAGCGCTTAAAATTAGAAAGGTTCATTGAATGAAGGGGATCGCTATCTTGCTGTTGTTCTTTTTGTTGTTGAGCGACGGACGGCACTGTACAGGTAACAGATGATGATCCGTGCAAAAGATTCGATTCCTGTGAAGTAATCGCTGCACGTATTTTTGGTGTTATGGTTGTAGTACGTGGCAAATGTCGTGCCAAAGCGTTAATAGTGGGTGAAAGTATTGCATTGGCTGAAAGCGTAGAACTCGTCGATGCCGGAGTATTAACAGCTGGCGATAGTATCGCGTTGGCAGTGAGCGTCGAAGTTGTCGCTGAAAGCGTTGTTGTGTTGGTAAACCCAGTTTGTTGGTTGCTACCTATCAATGCCGAGTTTCTCAGCTTCTCAGCTTTTTGTCTTACAACGTCGGGTACGGTGCTGCAATTGCTTTCCAATTCAGCTCGTGTTATCACTTTAGTGGTTAGCACTATATACGCAGGTATCTCTCTGATAGGTGTATGTATCTGAGTATGCATTCTAGTCGGGTCTATAGCCGGCATATTTCCGTCCAAATAAGGACAGCAATAGTCTAACAAAACACTTCCGTGATTACGATTATATTTAACTGGATGTAAAAATGAGTACAACCGTGTCCCTTTTGCATCCAAAAGGGGCGGTGTGACGCCGAATGAGGGCACGAAACTATTCTGATATGATTCCGTTTCACTGGTATTTAGTAAACGAATATTTGCGGGTTGTTGGCCGTTAATTCCAGTAAACGAAGAATTCATAGCACTAACTGCTGCCGCTGTGATACTATGTGCGCGTGCCATTAAAGTCTGTGTGTCAGGCAAAGCAGGTAAGGCATCGTCATCAATTTCATGTTTGGGTTGAACTGCGACAAACGCATCATCTTCATTAGCCAGCGGTGACGATTTGACTTGTGTACAGGAGGTCTTTTCAACCGTTTTACTTAAAACTTCCGTTGGAGTTGTTTCTGGAGTATGTAAAACCGAAGAAATTGTTGGCGGAAGCAGACCACTTGCATTATTATCAGTTTGCTGACTTCCAGTAGAGTTCGTAGTATTAGATGTTATTGCGCTATTTGCACCCGATTGAGCAATTACTTGCGTAACTGACGCTTGCCGTGGCGTTATTGTCATAAGATTGCCGCGACTTATTACCGCGCCTATACGTAGTCCTGTTTGGGGATTATTAGTTACTAAAGGCACGTGACTTACATTAGAGATCGATTGAGTTTTTGACACAATTCTTGATGAAGGTGATGATTTTGTTTTTGGTAGACAGCTAGATAGAGCAATTCTTCCATGGCTATTAGTCCAGATACCGGATTTTACTGTGAAGAAAAGCGAAGGATTATGTGAAAGGTAATAGGGAAAAGTTTAAAATATAACTTTTTGTAAAAAATTTTAGTTTTCAAAAAATAATGCGCATGATGGATTTGCAGAAAGTTAGGGTCACAGGTGAAAATATGAGAAAGAGTTCTAAAGATTTTAATTATGCTCGAAGAATATACACAACTGCACGAAAGACAAAAATTTCAAACCACGAACTCTCTGCAATGGTACTCACAACGCAGACGAATGCTCAAAGAACTAAAACCACTCTATACGCTCAGCATGGATAAATGCAGTTCGTTGAACTATTGTATTTAAATTGCGCATATTCGGCTGTCACCTAGTCTTCTATACCCGGTACCTCTATCCTAAAGCAAAGGCTAAAGGAGAAACTAAATTTCCATTTCATCTGATACTGCGAATGAATCACTGAGAGTAGATTTTAGCAGAAAATATGCAAAATATTTATCGTATATCTATTCTAATTCATGCGTAGGGCAGAAAAACCCACTGGCCTTCCAGTTTTTTTTGCGACCAGTACATTTACATTATATGTCTAGACCGATCCAGAATTTTATCATGTCGACCTCGTAGAGTCGCTGACGCTTCTTCCTGTTTGCTGCAAATGTGTTGAAAAAACAACAAAATTTTAATGATCTAAAATGTTGAATTGGCCTCAGCCATTTTTTCCGTTTTCATACCGGGCCTCGCCACAAAGTACGACCTTTTATCGTTGCTTCTGATATGTTTTATAGAAAACAAACAAAAACAGCATT